GTTGGAGGCCATTGCTATTAGGTTGGAGGTCATTGCTATTAGGTTGGAGGGCCATCGCTCTTGGATTGGAATATATCTATTACACCTTAGTTCTTAAGAGCTTTTTCCGCTTCTGAACGATCGGGAAAGGTCGGAGGTGAGGCATGGCAGCGGAGAGTTTTCCCGCGCTGCGAACGCTTGATGTAAAGAGCTATAGTGGGTGCAAAATGCATGGGCAAAGCCAAACAATGATCTGAAACACAAAAGGTTTGAGGAGGAAATCATAGGAAACCGCTAAAGTCAAACCGATTGAGCTCATCATTGGACTGGACCTCTAGGTTGAATTCCTGGACTCGGCAGCTGTTTCCAGCAACCAGAAACGGCCTCGAAACACACGGGTGGCGCGGTGCAAAGAGCTCGCTACAGCCATGGCGGGACGGCCCATCCCCAAAGATGTGAAGAAGCAGTGTCAAAAGGCCACAGTTTCTTGGAAAGCATGGTCCAATGGTTATTTTATGTTAACCTGCTCGTGTGAAGCTATCATTTCAATTGTTTTTGCTTTCTGGAGCATGAATGCGGGGTAGGATGTTGTGTGGTAGTGGCTACTCGTGGGTCGTGCCAGTGCCGACCTGATCATGGCAAAGATGAGGTCAAAAACACCGACATGTCCAATGAGATGAAAACGGAAGTGGTCGATATCATTGCAGGCGCGGCGTGGAACGGGGATAGAGCTTTGAAGAGTTCTGATACTCTTTCCAGGAAACTCAGTAGACACCGCATTCTTAAATAGAACGACACATGTTGGGCACTTTGTGGCTATCGTGCTTCAAGAAAACTCCAACCTTAGAAATCTCATTCAGGTCTCTTGTACTCGTACTGATTGATCTCATTATATCTCATTCGGATCTCTATAAGACAAGTCACCAAGTCTTCCAAGACCCAGAAGTCGCCCCTCACGTGCGGTGGATCTGTCCCGTCGATGGCACGGTTGTGCATGGTCGCCCCACACCGACGCAGGTTCCATCGACAAGTTCACGCTGCCCACGGGCGTGAACTTCGAGGGCGCCACCAGAGCCATCAAGGAGCGGTGCAGGTGGCGGGCGGATCCTCCGGTGTGAGCGGTCACGGCCGTAGGATCCGTAGGGCCGGCTGGCTCAGTCTTTGGAAGAAAACATCAAGGAGCTGTGCGAAACC